CTCATTCCAATATTCTATTCTATTCTATTCTATTCTATTCTATTCTATTCTATTCTATTCTATTCTATTCTATTCTATTGCCATGGTGGCACAGTGGTTAGAATGCAGTATTGCAGGCTGACTCTGCCCTCTATCAGGAGTTCAATCCTGACCGGCTCAAGGTTGACTCAGCCTTCCATCCTTCCGAGGTGGGTAAAATGAGGACCCAGATTGTTGGGGGAAAGAAGCTGACTCTGTAAACCATTTAGAGAGGGCTGTAAAAGCACTGTGGAGTGGTATATAAGTCTTAAGTGCTATTTCTATTTCTATTATTTGTAATTCTATTCTATTCTATTCTATTCTATTCTATTCTATTATTCTATTCTATTCTATTCTATTCTATTCTATTCTACTCTACTCTACTCTACTCTACTCTACTCTATACTCTACTCTATTCCTATTTATAAGGCAGTACTAAGACTAAATCCTTCATATTTATGACAGTTGGAGTGCTCCAAGGTCTTATTAGCCCCTTTTGCAACCTTCTGACAAGCAAAGCCAATGGGGAAGCCAGGTTCACTTAACGACCATGTTACTAACTTAACAACTGCAGCGATTCACTTGAACTGTGACAAGAAAGTTTGTAAAATGGGTCCAAACTTACTTAACAGCTGCCTTGCTTAGCAACAAAAGTTTTGGGCTCCGTTGCTGTTGTAACTTGTAACTAGCCTGCAGCCCACAAATCCATCCCTGGAATGGACCTTCTATAGCAGGCGTCGCCAACCTTTTGGACCTCAGGGACCCCCTGAGGTGCAGCCTTGTGTTCCTGCACAGCCTGGATTAATTGCTTTGGGGGAGGGGGGGTGACATTTCTCTGCGGACCACCAAAAATTTTATCGCAGACCACTAGTGGTCCCCGGCCCACCGGTTGGCGACCACTGTTCTATTAGCAACTTGGAATTACAATCCTGTAATCCTGACTGCTGACGTAAGGTTGATCTTAAGGGGATGGAAGCTAAAACATATGAAGAGCGGTTGTAGGAACTGGATAATTGTCCAAGTCTAGTGAAGAAAAAGAAAAAAAAGGAATAGGGGAGACATGATAGCAGTCTTCCAATATTTGAGGGGCTGCTGTAAAGAATATTTCCCAAAGCACCAGAAGGCAAGAAGGAACAGATTGGAAACTAATCAAGGAGAGAATCAATCTAGAAATAAGGAGGAATTTCCTAACAGTGAGAAACAATGAATCGGTGGGACATCTCGTCTCCAGAAGTTGCAGGTGCTCCATCACTGGAGGCTTTTAAGAAGAGACTGCACAGCCACTTGTCTGAAATGGCATAGGGTCTCCTGGCTGAGCGGGGGGTTGGACTAGATGACCTCCAAGGACCCTTCCAACTCTCTTCCTCTCTTCTTCCGTTATTCTGGAGAATGATTATTTGCTTGATGTTCCTGGACCTGCGTCTTAATATCTTCAGGGAAGATATTAAATTGCTTACTGCTGCCGTTGCTTGCCGCAGGAAAAATACTGCCTTAATTTTAGAGTTTTATAACTATGTAAAAATGTGCCCTGATTTTTATGGGGTTTGATATTCTGTTCTCTGATGCCATTGTTGACATATATATAAAGTTATAACTGCCACCAACAAATCATCCTGTTCATAAAGTCCACAGAACAGGACATCACTTTTATGAGTAATGAAGCAACAAAGAAGTCTCTATAGCTAGTCCTTATGTTACAACCATTTGTTTAGTGACCGACCACCTGAGGTTACAGCAGCATTGATCAAAGTGACGTATGACTCATTTTTTGGACTCATTTCTGCACTTGCAACCACGACAACATTCTCAGGAGTGACCTCCTCAAAACGTGGGGCCTTTGCAATGGGCAAGTGCACCCTGGCGACCTTCCCACCTGGCTTCCGACAAGGAAAAATCGAAGGGGAAGCCAAATTCTCTTAACGACTGCATGATCCCCGGCCGCAATTTGCTGAAAAAATGTGGCAGAAAAGCCATGAAATCAGGGGCAACTCAATTCATGCCTTGCTTAAGCAACTGAAATCCCTGGGTCGGTTGTGGCTGTAAGCTCCCCAAACCCCACAAACCCTCTGACGTGAACTCAAAAGATTCCTTTATTAGGAATGCCGGCAGTCCCGGCAAAAGGTTTATCTCTCAGGCTAATAAATCTGTCCGGCCAGAAGATGAATAGTTGTCTGCCACATCTATTCATCTCCGCCTCCTGCCTTTTATTCCCAGAGCTAGGGTGGGGCCTCGCTAGCAGCGGTGGCTCCTCTATCCCAGGGACCGGCCCGTAGATTTCCACTGCTCTCCTCTCCTCTGCCTTCTGCACATCCATGCGTCAGGCACTGGACCCAGCTGTTCCTCCTCTTCCTCATAAGCCAT